TTTTTTTTTTTTTTGATATGTGAAAAATAGGATTTAACCAATCATGTATCCCAGCTTGCAACTTTAGTCATACTTTGAAAAGCATTTTAATTTGGGCCTTATGACTAAAAATTTGTGAAAGGCTTAACAGATTCAGCATACTTCATGTTTTAGAAAAACAGAGATTCTTTACCAAATGAGGCATAGGACTCTAGATTGCAGACCGGGTGTTGAAATTATGTCTGTGAACCAGCAGGTGGCTTCTTGGATGTATTATGGTATAGAATAGTTGGGACTCAGGTCTTTGTGACCACGAATGAGAGTTGGCACTCTCTCCCCTGCAAGTGTCTCCCTTGTCTCCTGATGACCCACCCGGCACAGCCAGGATGTCTGCAGCTTTCCCGTTGTTCTCAGGGAACAGTTTCAGGCTTTAATGTCCTGCTACTGATACATGGCCTCTGTCCCCTCCCTTCCTTTGTGCACAGCCTGTGTGGAAGCTGGCATGAGAGGGGGGCTATGGGAGGAGCCTGTGTGGTACCTAGGAAATCCACCTGATGGGAGGAAGGAAGTCATCCACAGTTGATGCTCACTCTATTTCAAAACACCTATATTACATAAATTCAAAAATACACATTTCTGCTCTGCACAGAGACTCTAATTCCCAAGAAGACAGGGGGCATATATGATTTGTCCAAGTACTGCCCCCAAACTAGGGCATAAAGCAGAGCATAGCCCAAGCCAGCATTTAACAACCATTTAGTCACTGACACTATTGAAATCAAGCAACCTAGATTTGAAATGAATTTCTACCATTTATGGGGGATTATGCCTTCAGCAAATCTTACTACTGCATAAATTTTAAGCTCTTATGTCCATAAAATGGAGGTAAAACTGGGTGATTTCTTACATTTATTTTTGTTTGTTTATTTTTTGTTTTTTTGAAATAGGGTCTTCCCTGTAGCCCCACTGGCCTGGAACTCTCTCTGTAAGCCAGGCTGGTCTTCATTCACAGAAATCTGCTTGCCTCTCTCTGCCTCCTGAGTGCTGGGATTAAAGACATGCACCACCA